ACAAGTGTAATGAGATAGGTAATTGTCAACTTTAAACTAAACAGGAGTTCAGTGGAGAAAGAACATTTTAACCCATCTGTTGTTGTGAAAGTGATCTCAGCCAGCTGTTCATGCAGTCTGTATGGTTTTGTTGTCTGTTAAAGTTCTGAGTCTATACAAATATAAAATAATTAGTTAAAATATAAGTGATGCTTGGAATTTGAAGGGATGAAGATATTTTGTTTTGATAATGGTAAGGACACCAAACATGTTTTGATTAAGTAAGAAGGGCATTAATAAGCTGTAGCTTCACCTCACACCTTTTTGGTCTGTTATGAGGCATAGCTGCTATCTTTGTCTTTGTATTTGTTTTCTTTTTTTGTCTCATTGTGTGCTTCTTGTCATGTTTGTATAAGTTATACAGACCAAAAAAAAAATGGCATTCATTCATTCACATAGATCAAAATCATAATCAGAAAAACTTTATTCTTTTTCTGGTTCCACTTCCTCCCTGCTGAGACTGTTGGTGCTGAACTCTGCACCAATACATCCCTGGATTCTGACAGCGTTATCTCCAACCTAGCCTTAGTGCATTTAAACTCCTGCATTAAACTGGTTATATGGAGCTCCAAAACCTCTTTTCCATACAGGGCCACAGTGCTGAGGCAGGGCGGAGCTCCCAGCCACTTCCTAATAAACATGCTACACATTCTCTCGAGCTTCTCTACCTTAGAAATTGTTACATCATACACTGTCAGTGGCCATAACAATTGTGGCAAAAGACCAAACTGCAGGCACCACAGTTTGAGTTTTCCTGGGAGGCCTGATGCCTCTATGCTCTTAATCCCATCAACTGCCTGCTGTCTCAGACCCTGAATCTGCTCTTTATCACTAAGAGTTGCCTCCTACCACCTACCTAAACTTTGGACTGGCTTCTCTAACACTGATGGAATCAGCCCTTCATCTATACAAAACCTTTTATCCAACTTGATTTCTCTGGTTTCACCTTCATTCTAGCCAACTTTAAGTTAACATTCAACTTGTCCAATTGCCTTTTGGTACATGGTGCAGTGGTGGTGATAGCTTTCATGTCATCCATGTACACTCCTATGGGTGGTAATTGTTGCTGTGAAGGAAGCCTCTCTCCTCCTGTGACCCATCTGATGCCCTAATAACAACCTCCACCGTCATGGTAAACACTGGTGGTGAGATTGTGGATCCTGACATGATGCCTGTCTCCAGTTGTTGCTATGCTGTAATATACTCTGATGCTGCATATCTGGATATCCTAAAAATATTCTCTCACTAGCCCTTTAACTGAGTCTGGTACTTTAAAATAAGCTTCCCACAGTAGGCTATGTGATACAGAACCAAAGGCATTAGCTAGATCTAAGAAAACCACATGCAAATCTCTTTTATTATTGTTAATGGAAGCGGGTATAGGTAATTAAAAAAAAAACATTTATCCTGGCCAGATGGCCTTTATAACATCTGCCTAATGGAAGTAGTTGGAATGTGTTATGGAGGCGGTGTGAATAATGAACAGATCTTAGTGATAACTGGGTGGTTTATGATCCCTGAAAGTTTTGATTTGCTTTCATGAAAAAGAAAGGTGTACCAAGATGTGAATTGAAAGTGAGGCCTGACTCAATGAATGATTTGTAGACAGCTGGTCACAGTATCCACTAGAGTCAGCCACACATCCACAGGCTTTGTTTTATTGGCAAACTGGAGTAGGTGGATTTTGTGTAACCAAGATGAATGGTAGTCTCTGCCATTCATGGTGCTGCCATACCTTCCTTGCATTTCCAGTGTGAACCTTTCATCCACTTTTTTGCTACTTTCTTCTCTCGGCATATTTACAAAAGCTATTTTCCTAAGATATGCCCAATTACTTATAATATACAGTATGTATGTAGTTTGGGATTACTACATCTATCGCTACGGCCTTCTTCTGTTTGTCCACCATTACTATGTCCGGTTGGTTGGCCATTACTAGTTTGTCAGTTTGTATCTGGAAGTCCCACAGGATCTTAGCTTGGTCATTCTCAACCACCTTTGGAGGTGTATCCTATTTTGACTTTGGGACTTCCAGCCTGTACTCAGCACAGATGTTTCTGTACACTATGCCAGCCACTTGGTTATGGCGTTCCATGTATGCCCTGCCTGCCAGCATCTCGCACCCTGCTGTTATGTGCTGGATTGTCTCAAGGGCATCTTTGCACAGCCTGCACCTGGGGTCCTGT